ACTATAGAAACAAAATAACTAGCCTTTGTCCGCATATCCCACACCCTTGCTGTAGCGTCACGACCACAGGTTAAAACGATATCCAAGGAAGGATGAAGATCAATTGCATATACAGCAGACATATGGCCGTGATAATGACGGATAACCTTCACAAATAAATTTAGAGAATTAGCTTTGCTTAGGTAAAATTAGATCCCAGACTAACCAAATAAATAATTAAAAGAGTAAGAGGATAAATAAAATCTGATAAGTACAAATAAACAAGTATATAATTATAATCACCTTATTCTGCTCAAGATCCCAGCATTTAACCGTCTTATCTTCTCCGCACGAAAATAAGTAAGGTTGTCGTGTGCTTATTGCAACACCACGCACAGTACTTATGTGCCCAGTAAGGGTTAGCTTGAGAGTCCCACTTGCAAAATCCCAAACCTGATGTCAAGGCAAAATTTTAGCAAACCTTAATCATACGATCAGCAGCACCAGTTACGAAAAAGTCATTAGTGGGATCAAAAGCAACACATCTAACCCAGCCAGTATGACCACTGATAACCTAAGAATATTAGTCAGGAAGTGGATGTTACTCTGCAAAGTTTCCAAGGTGGGTGCCATGTGGGTTTAGGCATTGTAGGGGCCTTTTTGGGCAAAATCATATTCTCATTACCGATTTGGACAATTGATAAATCGGATAAATCGGGATGCCTATACATAATATGAAACTTAGGTAAGTACTTGAGCTTAGGTTTTTCTGAAGATAAGCTGGGTATGTCACCATTACTAATGGCTAACGCTTTTGACTTGAAATAATTTTCCTTTGGTAGATCCAATATAGATTTATATTGATCTCTCTTTTTTATATCAAATTTGATATTATGGCTGAAACCATAAGGTGAAAAACAGTACCATTTTTCATCTATGGAGGGTAGACGAGCTTGATCGGACTCAAACATGTCGTGCGTACGCTTGAGTGATCGAAAAATCAAGGTGTGGACGGAATGTTTTTGGACTGGCTTTATAATGGTTTTTCATGCTTAAAAAAATCAGTGTACCTCCATCCTAAAGCGTAATAGGATATGCTTCTAACGATGAAGAGGAGATATGACAAAGCATACTAAGCGCCTGAAGATAAACAAGAACATCGAGGCTGACGAAAA